CACTTGACCATTTACTATAGTTGTGATATTGAATTGTGGTGAAGGTATACAAGAATGTTCCACTTGACCATTTACTAGAGTTGTGATATTGAATTGTGGTGAAGGTATACAAGGATGTTCCACTTGACCATTTACTAGAGTTGTGATATTGAATTGTGGTGAAGGTATACAAGGATGTTCCACTTGACCATTTACTAGAGTTGTGATATTGAATTGTGGTCAAGTTATACAAGGATGTTCCACTTGACCATTTACTAGAGTTGTGGCATTTCAAAGGCAGTTTATGGTTGAGAGCACACCCACCTCACACTAATGAATCATTCCCAACAGACCATCAAATTCAATCAAATGTCTTAGCCTACTTAAGATAACTGGTAAACTTTCCACTATGTAGATATAATGCATATTTCACCCATTTATTTCATCCTTACAGTTGCTCTGTTATAGAACTCCAATATCTAATACTCCCCCTCCCCCACACATTGGGTATAGATATTGCTCTTTGGGAGAGGCACAATGTTTGGAGAGCAAATTTTGCATGAACCAAAAGTGCATCATAAACTTTTCTTAAATACATTGTTTACACCAGTTTACAATTGATGTGGATGTCACAGACTCAAATAAAATATCACCTTAAATCAAAACATCTGAAAAAGGTGCCTTTTCTCATGAATCGGCTGTTAAATGTTAACATCAGATCTGCTTATTTGATATTAATAGCAACCTTCTTTATAGCCTATCCACCTTGTTGCCTATCTGATATTTCCAGTCATTTACCATCAGAAGCACTCATTGCAAGCACCACTAACAGTGAAGGGGACAACATCAACCTTGCTGCCAATACTGCTGAAGAATACAACACTTTAGAAGAAGCAGAATGGTACTGGGGGGACATCACAAGGTGGGTGTGAGCTTTATTGTTGTTGTTGTTGTTTCCTGCAACTCAACTGGTGCATTAACAACAGTTACATCGTTATTTTTGTTCAGCTTTTGTTTATCGTATACTCTGTACTATGATAATAAGTAGAAACTGCTTTGACTATGTGATTTAATTGATAGGAAATGTATTTATGACATCTTACCAAAA